TCCCCTGGCAAAATGTGACGTCCTCGTTCAGCCCCCACCCCGTGCTGGCTTTGAACAGGTACTGACGTGCACCTGGAGCAGCTGACAAATGAACAAGACCTGCTGTACTGTGGTGGCTTCTCTTGGATGAGTAAAGCAGGTGGACAGAGTCAGCAGGTTCTTATAGTGAGGCTTGATGTTTTAAAATTTAAACTGTGATTTTTATAGGAAAAAAAAAATCTTCTCTAGTTTAAATACTGGTTTATAATGCCCTCCCTAGGATGTGTTGTGCACTGTTTCTGCTCTCTCCCTTCTTTACATGTGAAAGTGCACTCTCAGCCTTAGATGAATCTCCAGAAAAGTTCAAATTATTGTTCAAAAGCACTAGAACTTTGTAATTAAACATGCCCAGTATTTCTTCTTTTGGCAAAGTAATATACATGCATCTCAGGTCTTCTTGTCATAGATTACACTGCTTTGGCTTTGACCTGAAGTAAGGATGTAACTGTTAGTTGTGATGTCTACTCCTTCCCTACCACCACCCTTGTAATCTCAAAAGTATTAAATGGGGCTTTACTTATCATTTGTAAGAGAAAACCCCTTCACAGTAGGAGGTAGGTCTAGTTAGCTGATGGTGCCCAAAACAATTATCTTGCCCTCTTGTCACAAACTTATTTTTCAAAATGTAGCCTAAGTGTTTTAAGGCAACAAGAAAGGACAATTTTGTGGTTGAGGCACAAGGTCTGCATTAAACTTTAGATTCTGGTCATACAATGTTCTGCTAGGAATTTAGGATTAAATCTTACAGAGGACTTGGATGCTTGTGCTCAGTCCTGCCAATTGCCCACCCAGAACTGTAGTCCAGAGCCCTGATGAGATTTAGGGTCTGTGAGGGATCCTGGCAGGAGAGCCCCTGTATCACTTGATATTCTCATCTGGGTCTCTCCAAGATGGGTCTCTCTGCTGTAGCTCTGCTGATCTCAGGTGCCATATGGTGGCTGATAAAAGCTGCTGTAGCAAACCTGTCCCATCAGCTGGGCTTGTTACCCAGGCCTGGTGCATGTCCTGTGCTTGCAGGTGCTACACGTGTGGCTGGGCCTGGAAGTTGTCCTTCTTAGCAGACACTACTTCTTTGAAACACTAGGTTTGAGATTTAGCTGGAAAATATAACTCCGTGTTTCCTTTGTCAGCTTCAGGGAATCTTAAGTCAAACAGGAATTGAATGAGGGGCAGTAACTGTTTAACTGTAAATCTTGGAAGTGTTTTTGCAATCAAGATAAAAGGAGTTACCTGGTGCATGTGTTGCCTCCTCTCAACTCAGTATTCATAGAACTAACAAAGAGGGAAAAGAGTAATTTTTGCACAATATTCTTCACTGACAGCAATTGATTAATACTTCAGGCTACACAGATACATGTTTTCTAAACATAAGCCCTACCAAAGTTAAATAAAGATCCTTTGTAACTTAAAGCCCTAAGCAGATACAAGATTTTTCTTTTGTGCCAATGGTGTTATGATTTGTGAATGTAATTATTTTTTTTATTCTAGGCTATCATGGAAGTAGGGGAGTTATTGAAATTTGTTCAGACTTCAATAAAATTTCTCTCTGTTGCCTAGGAATAATTATGACTTTTTGATACATGATGGATTGCACTAAACTGTTGAAAATTATGCAAAACCAGCTTTATAGTTAGCCACAGGAAGCATTTTTAAATTGTATCTGTGAAGTGCCAGTACTGAAGATCAATTTTTTATTATTTAACACAGCTGATAGTTAATATTAAAAAGAAGGTTTTATTGTTCAGAATACACAAACTGTTTCTGACTTTAGGAACTGCTTGATCATTTTCACATCTCAGCGTTTTCCTTTTCTGTTCAGCTACAGCGCAATGCCATGTGCTAAAATGACATTGTGAAAGCTGAAACCTTGATGGTGTGTGTTAAAGAGATAAGGAAGAACATGTACCTTTTGAAGGGGAGTGCCAGTTTCTTTAAACTGAGTGCCGGGCTGATAACACTGTTTGCTTTTGGTAGCCTACTTAGTCCAGATAGTCTTTTCAATGCTAGATAATCTTTTCAGCCCAGCCAAACTCAAATTCTGAGTAATTTGTTTAATTAAAAAAAAAAGGAAAAAAACCCTACATCAAGACCTCAGATCTCTGTAATTTGAGTCTTCTTGAATGTCGGCAAAAGCAATTCTGCTTTCTTATTTTTGGGACTATTCTTCATTCATAAGAATTGCATGTCTGTTTCCTTTGCTGAACTTGTGAAGGAGAAATCACTTTGACACTTCTTTCCCTGTTCGTTGCTATTCTCAGGCAGTCATGACAAGGGGAAGGTAATAATTAATTACTTCATAATGTGCCTGAAGCAAACAAAGCGACAGGTTTTGTGCAGTGGGATTGTTTTTTTCCAATGCCAAGTGCAGCTGAGGAAATAGGAAGGTACTGAGTTAAGTTTGGTCAGGAATGTTGCAGCATTTTTCCCTTTATAACACTTCAAGAGCATACTCTGTTTCCCCCTCCTCTCTCTAAGAACTGGTTAATTATTAAGCCTTGGGAGATACTATCAGGGTCGGAAAGATGGATGAGCAGAGGAAGAAGTACCAGAGCCAGGGCTGGGCAAGGAGGTGCTCTGGGAAGACTGCCTGGAGGAGAGAGACAGACTGCTCTGATGACAGCCTCAGCTGCTCTGGGCCTCCTGATGGCTGTCCTCTCTCACCCTTCTTCCTTCCCAGGAGTGAGCTTTGTGCTGCTCCATCCCTGTCCCTAATACAGACACCTCAGCCACATCCTCTGCCAGGTACAGTCCACCCCTTTCACTTAGAAAAGCATCAAATCAAGGTTTTGTGAAAAACGGGTTTGTGTTTCCCTCTGCTTTTACTAGCTGGAATCAGAATTGGTTAGCTCTGAGGCTTGCTCCCTTCATCAGTAGCTACAGTATTTCTTCCTTAGGAGCCAGAGTAGTCCAATCAAAAAAACATCTGAGTGTCATGCTGCTGTTCCTGAGTGTCCTCAAAGTTCCCCATAGTGACTGGTAAGTGTTGTGTACTTGGGGAAACAGTTATTGCCATATTTCTAAGCACCTAGATTGTAGACTGTTAGATGCAGAATTTTTGGGGGGAGATGGTGGGCGGTGTGAGGAAGAGACAGGAAAGAAGCAGGGTAGGTGTTCTAACTCCATTCTTTCCCCAAATGAGAACACTGTCATCCTGACTGAGATTTTTCAAGCTTTTTCATAGAAATTCTCCAAGGATAATAATTCAGTAATCTCAAAGGCAATCTATTCCAGGGCTTTACTCTCCTTAACTTGGAAACAATTTTCTTAATCTCTGACCCAAGTTCCCATTTTTGCAGTTCCTTCTAATTCTATCCCCAGTGGAAGCGCAGAACATTTTTGTTGTTGTTGTTGTTTTGGTTTTGTTTGCTTGTTTGTTTTTGTTTTGGGTTTTGTTTTGGTTTTTGTTGTCTTTGGGTTTTTTGTTATTTGGTTTGGGGGGTTGTTTGTTTGGTTGTGGGTTGGGTTTTTTTTGTTGTTGTTGTTTTGTTTTGTTTTGTTTTTCTAGAAGTACTTTTATTCTAACAGAGACATATCTGTCTTCCAGTATATGCATTTGAAATTGTCTGGTGGTACTGGCTCAGGGAGCGGGTCAGACTGGATTGACCTCTGGCATGAACAGATAGCCTGTTTCAGATGGGCACTGCTGAATTAGCATGTATATGGGATAGCGATTTTTGTGCCAGCATATGCCAAGCTCTGATTCTCTATGTCAGAGGAAGCTGCTATTGCTGTGCTACGTGCACACTGTGTGCATGATGAAGTGCCAGCCCTTTTGGGTTGTGGGAATTTTGTGTGTATATTCCCTTCACAGAAGGCTGATGGTGGTAGCATAAGTGTGTGTTACCTGAGAGAAAACGTGGACGTTCACTTGACCAGCTGCAGTTCATTTACTTACCATGAGAACCAAAAGCACCAAATAGCAAAATATGCTTTGGTCAGTTTATTACTCCTTTAGCTTATAAACTTATCTACTCCTTTAGTTTATAAACTTCATCTACTCGCTATGACTTGAGATCTTCCTTATGCAGGACAAATTTCTGTGCCTCTTACAGATAATGGTTTGCCCCCAAGCTTTTCTCACAGATCTCAGTCCAGGTCCTTCAACAATTTTATTGTGATCCTGCCACCTTTGAATTAGTAGCCTGTGATTTTCTAACCCAGATCCTGCCAATATCCTCTGGGTCTGAGGTGCCAGCCTGCAGCTCCCGCAGAGCAGTCCTGCAGGCCCTGGCAGCCTGTGACTAATTATCTGCGTTCATATGGTGAGCCAAAGAAAACTGCAGGGACTGTTTGATAACGAGTTGCAGAGAGGAAAAGCAAAAGTCAAAACGAAACTGAAGCAGAATGTGATTCACAGACCCCTATGAAACTGAGGGAGGGCAGAGAGGCAGGGTGGGTGGCAGGGCTGGGCTGTGTTTGGCCACACAGTGCCTCCTGCAGCCTGGTCCGAGCACTGGGGCTGGGTCCGTGTGTGCAGCGTGGCATGGGAAGGATGTCTGCTGAGGAAGGAGAGTGCAGGGCATGGAGGCACAGCTCATGCACAGCATGAGGACTTGGCTGGTGATGATAAGCCCTTATGGGACCCTCAAAATTAGAGTCATACATGAATGAGCTTTCGTTGAGTCTGTGCTGGCTTGATTAAACTCTCACTTCTCACCTTGGTCAATACCTATTGGCTCCATAATGCTGCACCCACCTAAGGATTCTGAGGATCTGTTTACCCTCTCCCACTCCCAGCACAATATCTGTGCTGTGCTCGCATTTCCTGGGTGACTTTCCATCAGTGGCAGGAGGATCTGGGCAAGCATTTCCTGGAGTTGGACACAAGACCTGAGATCTGAGGCAGGAGGAGACCTGCACATAGCAGAGAGAAGATGCAAACAGGATTGAAAGGGTATGTATTTGAAGGAAGCTGGTGACATGGAGAATAAAGGGGCAGTTGGAGAACAAAAAGGAACAGACGACAAAACCTGCAAGATCTTGTGCAGGGCCAGGAGTTGATGATCTCTGTGGGTCCCCTTCCAACTCAGGGTATTCTAAGATTCTATATATGAGTTGCCATGAAACCCAGACACAGGTGACAGAACCTGCATAAAGCTTCTGCCCATATGAGGAAAACTATGACAACTGTTTAAGCAAAGTGTTCCGCCCTGAGGAGTTTATTTCAGTAAATACTTTATGTCAGGCCCTTTAACGCAGTTTTAGGACATTGCAGCTCAATGTACTGCATAGTCAAACTGTGGCCCTCACTTGTGAAAGGAGCCGGATCGCTTGCCCATAGCATGACATGGGCTTTTTCTGGCCAAAGCTGACCCTGTTCCCTCTCCATTATTGACACCACAGCAGTTTTCCTCTCGGTTCAGAGGGATTGTACTGGCCATCAATAACTGCCTTATCAGGCTGCTCTTACCTGTGTGAGGTGGGAAGTAGGGTGCTGCCATTGTTACATATCATAATAACTGTTCTGTTGAGGGGAATTTTGTGGTATCTCTGGCTTCCAAAGCATTTTGGATTACAACTGGGACCCATTATGGCCAAACCTGGTGTTTTGGCAGACTTGGGAGTGTGGCCCTGCCCAGCCATCCTTTAGAGGGCACTGACTGACCATTTGTGGTTCCACTGTCGGCTCAACATACCCAGGGACCTGTTGTCACTGAGAAGACAAGGACCATTCCCTGTTCCTTCTCCCTCCTTCCCTTGTCCTCAGGGCTTTCTCCTGTTCTCCAGGCCATGAAATCCTGACCAATTCCTTCTTAAGGGCCGATTGGTTGCATGGTTGGTTTTTATTTTTTGCAGTGAGTTAGCTTGGGATGTTTTAGTGACTTAGATCTACTTTCAGAGTCAGAGCTGACACAAGATAGCAGCAGGGTATGTGGCCCTGGGAAAAAGGGAGGCTGTTCCTGTGCTGATAAAATGCTAGCTTTCTTTATGGCCTCCTGTGGAATGATATTGTTTGCAGGACAGTTCTGGAGGAATAATAAACATTAATCTTTTGGTCACCCTGTTTTGTCAAAAAAATTGGGGAAGAGTAGCAGGGAAGGAGAAAGATTAAAGGGCTGAGTGTTGGTGAAAGGACTGAAGAGAGAGATGATGTGTCAAGAGGCACTTGAAGTCCTGGGGCTGGGAACTGGATTTCAATGACTGCCTAGAGGAGGGGGAGCAGACCCTCCAGAGCAGGGGGTATTTCACCAAGAGCTATAAGAGGTGCCTGGGTCAGGACTAAATGTCTAACATGTTTGGTTTGTGTCCCCCTTTGCCTCACAGAAGGGCAGGGCCCAGCTGGTGTGGCAAACAGGTGGTGGGTCTCTGTCTAAGCACCATGGTCTCTCTGAAGACCCAAATTCTCCTCCCACTGCTGCCAAGTTATCAGTGTTAGATAAAACACTCTTAGTTTTTTTTGTCCTGTAAAGTCACAAATTTAGACCCCTAGGGGTGTCTCCATCCCTCTTTCCAGGTTTGCATCTTTCCCCTTGCACTTCGTATGAATCTGTAAAGAAAGAAAGTGAGCAGAGAAAGGAGAGCTCTCCAACCAACTAAGATAACCACAAAGCCAAAGGGCTCATCTGGAGGTGGTCCTTGGCTGGGACTGTTCTCCCAGCTGAGAGCGACCCTGCTCCCCCTGGCAAGGGAGTCAAACCTGTCCAGTCACCTGCAACCCCAAGGGGCAGGTAACAAAATGCCAGGTAAAGCAAAAATCAACAAATTATGTAACACTGAACAAATTCCTTATCCTTCCTAGGAAAGATGACAGTTCACTGCCTTTGATACTGGGGAGCTGAAGCAAACAGACTGTTACTCTCAAGCATGTGTTGGACTGGGACTGCTTTAGTCCCAGCCATCCCTGCAGAGGAGCAGAGCAAAAGCTGGCCTGTGGCACAAGCTGCTTGCTTGTGGGTGGCTTAGAGGCATCTGAATGTTTTGGTGCTTTTCTGCTTCTAGAAATGTTCATTGTGCTCTGAGCATCCATACCTCAGTGTCCATCCACAACTTGCACGCACCTGCCCAGCTTATGGGCAGCCCAAACCCTCAGCTGCGATGGTGTGTTGTTCCCATGCAAGCTCACTGGGGAGCCTCCCATTGACTGCTTGAGGAGGGCTTCCTTCCCCAGGACGACATGTTTGGTGGATGTTGTTAGAGAGCCAAACACAGGTGACTGGGCCCAGAGAAGTGAGCTGCCAGCAGTCTATTCCAACACCAGCCTTGCTTAGCCTTGGCCAGAGCTGGGTGCCTGCAGATGTGATGTGGTGCAGCATGAGCTCCGTTCCACACTGAGCCGAGGGCTGGGAGGAGAAGAGGAGGACAAAGCATGTCACCAGGGCTGTTTATAACCCATCCCAAAGGGGACTGGAAGAAAGGGAGCATGGAAGTGATTACATGTAGCCCAGCACTACAGACTGAACTCAACATAAGAGCTTTAAAAACATCTCTGATACTCTCTTTGCTTAGCCTGCACAGTCTGGGAAGCGTCCTGAGTTGCTCTGAGGCAAACCCTTCCATCCTGGTTTCCATTACACTCACATGCAGCCTTCTCCCAATCTGCCCTTGCTCTGTCTGTACAAGTGACAGACCCCCCTGAACAAGCACAGGCTGTTAGCTGTCAGCCACTGAGGATGTGGCCTACAGACAAGCAATATGCTAAACGTGCCTGCTTAAAGTGAAAGGTGAACCATTAAATGGCCAGTGATTCTTAACTGTGGTAGCATGAGCACAGTTAAACCCAAAGAGAGAGGAAAATTAAATAGAAACAGCTACTAAAAATCTAGTTGCAAAAGCAATTCAAAGAAATATACAAACGTAGAAAAAGGAACCATCTTTTCATGCACTGTAAACTGCCAGTTTTCAAAAGCATCAGTAAACAAGCTGTTGAGTGCTGGGATGGATAAAAACAGGTTCCCAACCTCTGCTGAGCTGCCTGGCACATGAAATCTCACTGCCAGCAATGCTGATGATGTGCTAGAGGTGGTGGCATGACCACCCCGGCTCTGCCTACATGCTGAGGGGTGGCTGGTGCATGTGCTGAGTGGCACATCATCTGTCACCAAACCCAGCTCCTACCAGGTGAGCTCAGCCTCCCTTCCATGGACAGGGCTGCTCATGTGGGTCTCTCTTTCTTCTCTGACCAGCCACCAATTTTCAGTAAATTTATTAGAACTCCAGTGTAGCTGGGGCATCTTGGCCAAATTTGGTCAAGGTTACCCTAGGGATAGTGGGGACAAAAACAGGCAGTCAGGCCTCAGGATTATACAAGTCTCTTGCCTTTATGAAATGCAGACTAAAAAGCGCTCAGAAGTGTGGTGAATGGCTCTGGCTGTTGCAGGGTGTCAGAGACTGAGCTGGGTGATGCACTTTGAGGCACAGAGGCACCCAACACTTTTGCCAACCATGACACTGACTTGGGCATGCACCACTGGAGGAGGTGCAGTCAGCACAAGGACAGCCACCCCAGTGCAGATCTTCACTGGGTGGGAATCTGCTGCTGCCATCTTCCCTTGCTCTTAGCCTGGGTTATGCCTACTGCAATGTGTAAAGGTGTTCCACAGATCAAACGCCCCAGTGCTGAGAGCAGGGATGCTCAGGTACTTCGGTGGTCTCAGGTACTTCAGTGGTCTTGAATGTGAAAGTCTTCGGGAACATGCACTTGCATTTGGATAGACAGAAAAGCAAAGGCAAACAACAGGGCTTTGATAGTCACAAGGATCTGACTTA